CGGTCAGTACGATGTCACGTAGCATATGCAGAGCAGAGCCTACCGCTTTATTTCATCTACGTTAAGTGTCTTGTTTACGTTTAGTACAAGTATTATGCCAGAGTGGGTTCATGACAATACGGTTCGATTTTGCCCAGGATTTTCACGGCTTCATTTTTCCACCTCAGCATGAAGACCAGTGTGGACTTTTGGGAAACGGCAATCGCACGTTGTTAATGAACATTCCGTTTGGAAAAGGCGCAGAGTCGTGTGGAGTGTTCATGGTACGAACGTAGCGCCTGTTCGCTTAAAAGCTTGTAATTCTCGACCGTTATAGAGTGGGAAAGATCAGTGGGTGACGATTAACGTTCGGTACAACACGACATCGAAGGTTTCGTCACAAGAATCGTACCTGTTACACTGCGTTGAGGATAACAGACGACGTGAGTTCGAAAAGTAGACAGTTTTACTACACATCTTTCTGAATGACACAAATACAGATAATATGCATTGTTGTTTCAGCCTCTCGGGGAGTCAGGTTCACATCGCTGTGTTGTTAGATTCGAAGCCAGCAACCGAGGCAACGGTGGGACAGAAGTACGCCCTTCGAGTGCAAGCTCCATATGGTAAACAGACATTGCTTTTGAAATTGATTCTATCTTTATTTTTATTTCAGAATACAGGCTGACGACATGCATGGCTCATATCGGTGAAATGAATAATGTATATGCAAATGTATTCGAAGGTAGCTCTGAGTAAGTGGTGGTCATCTGTACGTTTTCTGTTTATACGATGGCGCTCTAACCGCTGCATCACAGGACTCCTTCCAACTCGTCACTGGTACGGTTCCATAAACAAGACGACAGTGACATCGTCTCTTCATCGTTCATGATGTTCAGATTTGAAGAGAGTCACCGATTATACCTGCAGTGCGCCGTTACGGTCTGCCGCGGTTTGGGCGGCGACCCACATAATCGGTCAGTTACACAACAAGTTTTTCATCCATTCTCCGGACAGGTCAATAACAGCGTACTTATTACGTCCACTTCCGTGCTAGTCAAAGACATAGCGGATGGGAAAGGTAATAAAATGTCATATTCGTATTATTTTGCCAAAATATTTATTTAATACTCATCTTCATCTTGCATGACCGCTTTTCCTCCTGGGTCACCGAGGCAGATGCGTCAGACAGTGCTTCCAACGTTGCCGATCCTGTGTCAGAGTCTGAGCATCGCCAGAAGACAACTGGAACCTGGAACAGACACCTTCCATATATTTGCACCAGGTTAATCTTGGCGGTCCCCAGGACCTTGTACCGGCCGGATTTGCAAGAAACAGCTGCATAGCCTTCCTTTCTGGAGAAGCAACGGCTGTATACCAAAACTCTTCCTGATGTCAGTATTCCGAACCATGTCGAGACGCGTAAGGCCAACGACTCGTCTAAGAAAGCCCATTTCAGCAGCTT